GAATTCGATTCGTTCTTGCGTGATTTCATTAATCCGATACCGACTAGTTGATTAACCATCTTCTAGGATTATTTAATCGACTCTTAGAACCGAAAGTGGAGGAGTCGGTCGAAATAGATTCGCATGAACTAGGCTTGTTCGTAACTGTATTGCCTAGGAGTTAATTGACTCGTTAATATGTCGTGCTAGTTTATTCTCTTGTTACGAAAAGTTATTGAGAATGAATGCTTGATCAGGTAGATTATTCGAATTTATTGGTTGAACAATCACTTGCCCGTAATTGCTTCTCGAACCAAAGCAGATATCCCCGACTCCCTAGCTCGTTTAATCCTATTTGTTCTTCGTCTTCGCTTGCTACTTTTACTGTTTAATTTAATTATTTGTAGTAGTTGATAATTAAAACCAATCCAATTATTTAAACTAGAATGTTTAGGAATTTTATTTCTTTTATTTCTTTTGTGTTCTTGAATAAACGTGCATTATATTCCGGCTAACCTTCCTCGTGAGACACGACCCGGTGTCTGAATCTTTCGATTCTACTCCGGAAAATATTTACAACAAATTGGCGCCGTTGCCGGGGAAGGTTTAGGACGTATTTTGTGCCCTTATTCAATTTATTTTTCGTGTTTCTCTTGTGTTCTTTTTAATTGTTAGGTGTTAGATCTTTGTTTTCTTTTATTTTCATTTTATTTTCTTTTATCTATCATTGGTGCTCGTAACCCTTGTTGGTTTAGTGTATGCGTACCAGGAGTGGACGCAAATTGCTATCTCCGATAAACAAGTCAGTTAGCGAGAGCCTGAGAGAGCTGCTAGACGAGCTTACACTGGAATCCGAAGAAAAAGACCAGCACTCTCCAAAATCATCTGAGGGGAGTACTTCTAACATGGCTCAACAACGACAACAACAACCTCCTCGCAATGTCCTCCGAGATCTGGCCCAGCCCATGATCGGGCCGATAACGTCTTGCATCCAGTTGCCAGAAGTCGCCCGCAACTACGAGCTGAATGTGGTCCACTACAATCAGCTCCCATCATTCCACGGGCTCGCCAACGAGGACCCACTCCACTTTCTCCGGGAGTTTTACAACGTCCTCTAGACGTTTCCTTTACACGGGCTAAGTGAAGACGAACTCAGAATGCGGTGTTTTCTGGAGACCTTAAAAGACCGAGCCAAGGCGTGGCTCATGACTCTCACCCCGAACTCTCTCACAACCTGGGCAGAAGTATACTCCAAATTTGTTGGGAA